TCTGTGTTGGTCGAGCAGTGGCCATTTGTAAAAATAGTTTTTGAGAATTTTTAATGAGGTTGGGAATTGAGCCTTGTTTGGTTTGATTTGGTTTGCATGCATTTGAAATCAAAGTTGCATACTTGGTTCTTTGGGCCATCATGCATGGAAATGCGTGATTGGTGGTCCGAGAATCGAGGCACATGCCCCTTTGAGTCATTATCACGATAAAGGACATGGTTGGTGCATACATGCCTTGAATTATGTTGCCATGCTTTGTTCTGCCCTCTGTTGCTGTGAGTTGCAGGTTCTGCAGGTTTTTTTTGCCGACCGGCAGTGTAAGGTGCCGGCCGGCAATCTTTTCTCTGCCGACAACTCCATTATGTGCCGATGGCCACACACCAATGCCGGTGGTAATTCCACTCAGCCGGTGGCACTCACCTCTGTCCAAGGGAGCAGTCCTGAGGTTTTGACAGCCTCCAGAGGAGTGAAGGAAAGAAAACAGAGGCAGCCTATGCATGGCGGCGCGTTTCCCGAGGCGTTTACTGCCTTTCTTAGTCTATTTTAATTTGTTAATTAAATTAGGCAATTTGTAATATTTAATTAGCTTGCGTAGTTAATTAATTTGTAATATTTATTCGGTCCCTCCGAGTGAGGGTAAATCTGTAATAAGTGTGTGTGGGTGGTGTGTATGTCTTCCAACCCCACTTCTTTCTTCCCTTTTATTTACCTGCTTACGGTGGTAGATTAGGGCATGTTTAAATTCAGCATACCCTATGCTATGCATGCGTGCATTCATGCATTTTGTATTACATGCATTAGGCTCGGTACATCACGCTAATTGCATTCGTACTTCAAATCAAAAATTGAATATGTGATAATTGTGCATTTTCACATAACATGTTTAGGATAGCCGAGCCTATTCTAGTAACATTTTGTATGCGATGCATTAGGCACTTAAAATGAACTAGGACATGCATGTTTACTAACTAGTTTATTGTTTTGGCACGGAGTACGATGTAAGCATTTATGTTTTAGCATCCCGCATGCGTGTGAGTGTTGCCATGACAGTATGCTTGCCATGCGGCTAAATGCTTATGTGATAAATTGTTAGATGCTTATGTGTTATAAACTGCTTGGATGCCTGTGGGTGAAGGTTGGATTGTTTGAGTTGGAAGAACTCATTGAAATCCGTGTTTTAGCCTACTTGCGAGTAGCAAATCCAAAACATTTTCCAAAACAAACGGATATGCAACGCTTATTTCCAAATTAGGCAATCTAGTCTATACTTGTTTGCTGCGCGCATAACATAGTAATTTTAGGGTAATAATTGGTTTAAGAACACATAAAGTTTTCAAAAACGGATATCACGGTTAGTAGAGGCCGGTCTTCGAACCGGGCGAAAGGGGGTGCTCATAGCTGACCTTCCCCGATCGTACCCAAGCTCCCGAGCCGAGACAACTCCGGTGATGACGGACATGTGGCCTTCGGCACCGAGTCAGGGTTTCCTAAATTTCCCCATTTTAAAAAATATTTAGGTGGCGACTCTGTATCTGGCAAAGCAGTCCATGTTTGGCACTACTTTTTCAAAAATCTGTTTCTCAAAACGATTTGTCAGATTTGGACTCTTTGGTTCAGATTAAGAACCGCGACACAAATCGTGAGTCCGAACTGTAGCATGAGGCCCACGGGCGCGTCTACAGATAGTATTATGATGTGATCAAAGGACACAAACGTGACCTGGTTCTACCTTTGGATCTTGTATTGTATTTGTGATGTGATGGGAAGAAAAAATACACATAGACTACATTTTTAATTTTATGCTTGAATTAACCCAAAAAGTAGATTTCTTTTGACTAATATCACCTATTAATTTTCATCTCCTATTAGTACTCATTGGTTTTAGAATATTTCTCGCTGATAATACCATTAAACTTGGTTTTAGACATTGCTATATTTCTTGTTGGTACCATATTTGGTTTTATCTTGGAAAAAATTGGGATGATTTTGTTTTTATATTCATCTACTCTCGTTGGTGGAGTTCTAGTGTCTGTATATGCTGGTAGGGTTGCTTGTAATTTGTTTCTTTATATATATTTGGATGAGTGTGGGGATTTGGAGGTTTCAACTAGCTTCAAACTTTCCTTGGGAAATCAATGGACTGGCTGTAATTTTCTTTCATGTCGTTTTCATATGAGGGAAGTTTGTTTTTTCCTTCCAAAAGATTGGGGTGTTTGTCGTTAGTATCAGAATCTTATCTATTCAATAGTTTTGGTTGTCCTTTGAGCTACAAATGGTGTAGAAAGCAATATAACACTTTGTTTAATGCTAATAAAGTGGACAATATTTTTGCAGATGACTACAGTAATTGCCATTGAGGATGTAAGACGAGAAGTGAAAATATTACAGGCTCTAACAGGGCATAGGAACCTAGTGCAATGCTACGATTGCTATGAGAATGATGAGAATGTTTATGTAGTGATGGTGTAAGTGTAGACTTACTAAATTTTACTAATCCTAATAAATTTTGTTCAATTTTATGTTATTTGCTTAGCAATTTGTGAAAAATTTCCAGCAGGTAAAATACGTCAAATTTACATGATTGGCAAAAAAAATTTGGAAAAAAAAAAAAAAAAAAATCTTAACCTTCTCTTTGTACATGTGGCAACTGTCCATTTAAACTTGATTTTGGTGTTTGGTTTTGTCAAAACTAGAACCAATGAAATCTTGACATCATCTTTGTTGATTTACATGTAACTCATGGTAAAACTACTGTGGCATGGCCTACTTTTCTATCGTGTCACCTTAAATATGTTTTCTAGGGAAACTAAGATGAGCCAACCGAGCTGTATTCAACTGGGTCAATGCATCGTAGGCTGTTAATGTTCACCTGACCTTTTTGTTCTTCTTCTTCTCCTCTCTCTCTCTCTCTATATATATATATATATATATATGGGTGGTGATGGCCGGGGAGGGGTTAGTGGCATGTGCATTTTTCTCTTTGTTTATTTGTTATGTCTCGACTCCCAACTAAAGAAATATTTCCATTTTAAAACTGTCTTAAATATGGTGAAGAATCAGTGAAGTTTTGAAGCTTACTCCGTATCATGTTTTATGTTCTTCAGGTTATGTAAAGGAGGTGAATTATTGGATAGAATACTTTCTAGGTACCATATTTTCTTGTCTTTTTTCCTTTTATTGCAGTATTTGGCCTGTTTTGCAACCTTCTGGCAGCTAATTACTGATTTGTGTTCTCTAGGGGTGGAAAATACTCAGAAGAGGATGCAAAGGCTGTCATGGTCCAAATTTTGAGTGTGGTTGCGTACTGTCATCTCCCAGGGGTAGTTCACCGTGATCTCAAACCTGAGGTAATGAACTTAGACATTTTCTTTTTTTATTGATTTTTTTTTTTTTTTTTTTTTTTTTGGAGAAAATCTTTATTGATGAAGGTATGCAAAAAGTATACAGGACATCAATAAAGAGGAGCTTGGAGCTAACTGAAGCTCCAAGCGCCAGTTGGTGAGAAACCAACAACAAACCAAGACAAAAAGAAGCAGAAGAGGAGCAAAAACAGAAAAACTAAACTTCACTGACTAAACTTCACTACTAACAAATGAGGCTTAAGGAACAGACCACTGACATCATCAATTCACCCAAGCCATCACCAATCCACTGAGTTGATATACCTGGACAGCATCTATAGCACTGCAGTTATACACTGACTACTGTGAGGAACACAACCATTCAGCATATCAGAATAACCGAATAGAGAAGTTTAGAACCACAGGCAGTGCTGTAACACAACCATTCAGCATAACACAACCATTGAGAATAACACATCCACCCCACCAATTCACCAATTCAGAACCACAACCTGTAACAGAACCACTGACCTCACCAATTCACCCCAGCAGATCAAACTTACAATAGGAGCAGTCCCTAACCAAAGTAGAACAACAGGCATTGATGTATTTCGACAGGCAGACAGCAGAGCAAACATCCACCCCACCAATTCACCAATTCATCCATTCCACCCCAGCAGATCAAACTTACAGTAGAAGCAGTCCCTAACCAAACTAGAACAACAGGCAGTGATGTATTATGACAGACCAGCACTCATGCACAACAAACCAGAAAAACAGGCAGACAGCAGAGCAAACCAGAAAAACAGGCACTGATGCCAGAATAGCACTGATGCCACATAAACCAGAAAAACAGGCAGACAGCAGAGCAAACCAGAGCAACAAATAGACAGTAAACTGATGCAGGCAGACAGCAAAATGTCTAAACTGAAATTAGAGCACTAAATTCCGCCCCTAATCTGTCTCCAATTGCAGACGAGATCATGCACTGAGTATGGGAATTCTTTCGTGGAAGCTTTGAGCCAAATGGCAGATCTGAATTTTATGAGATCTAGCATGCCTGTAGCAGAGGGTTGTGCATTAGAAAATACACAGTCATTTCTGAGTTTCCAAATAGACCATAGTACGATTAAGGGGGTTGCTCTCCATATTAGTTTGTCAAAATTATAGAATTTCCAGCACATCCACCAATAAAGCAGGCCATCTACAGACTTAGGAATACACCAATGTATGCCCCAATCCTCAATAATCGCTGACCATATTGACCAGGAGAAAGGGCAATGAATCAGTACATGGGGAGCAGTTTCTACATCAGAGTTGCAAAAATGGCAGAGGGGAGAGGCATTGCTGTCCAGAGAACCAATCTTGAGCAGAAAGTCAGAGCATTTGAGTCTAGATTTCCAGGCTAGCCAGGTGAAAAAAGATACTCTGGGGGGCAATGATGAATTCCAAACAAATTTGCTAACCTTGAGATGGGGGCCAAAGAGAGATGAGTGGTGAGAATAAAGAGCAGAAGCAGAGAAGCTCTGACCAGAATCTGAACACCATACTAAGCAGTCTTCACTATCCAAACACAGAGATGGTGCAGAGGATAAGAGAGCAGTCAATCTCACCTCTTCAGCCAATTCCCATGAGAATAACTCTCTTCTATGAGGGAGATTCCAAACATATGGGCTTGACCTCCTTGCGTAATAATGATTGAGGGAACCTTCCTTATCATTTGACAGATTGAAGAGGAGGGGAAAAGAAGACTTCAAACAGAGGCCACCACACCAACTATCAAACCAAAATCTGATTCTAGTGCCATTCCCAACCTTGAAACCACATTTGCTCACAAAGAAATTAAAGATAGGCCTATTGAGAGCCCCTACTGTGATGATGTCCCTCCAGACTCTAGAGTGCTTGTATGAGAGACTTAAAGGAGGGAGCCAACAGGAGTTGTTAATTTTATATTTGCTGCACACAATTGACCTCCAGGGAGCATTGGTTTGAATGCCAAACTTCCACCACCATTTGAGAAGGAGACAAACATTAACATCTCTGACCCTTCTAATACCAAGTCCCCCTTGATCAATTCTCTTTGTAACCTCCTCCCATTTCAGTAAATGCACTTTCCTTTTAAGATCACTACTACCCCATAAGAAGGCTGCCTCTAACCTTTCTATTTCCTTAGCCACTCCTTCAGGCATTTTAAACATGGAGAGAAAGTAAATCGGTAAGCTAGACAGAGTGGACTTGATTAAGGTTAGTCTACCAGCAAAGGACAACAGTTTTCTCTTCCATCCAGACAGTCTAGCCTTGATTTTTTCAATTACAGGCTTCCAAGTAGATTTCCTTCCAGGATTTGCTCCTAGAGGCAGCCCCAGAAATTTTAGTGGAAGACTCTGTACTTTGCAATTGAGAATAGAAGCATAGGTGTTTAAACAGCCTTCATCTACCCCAACACCACAGACAACACTCTTATGATAATTAATTTTGAGGCCAGATAATACTTCAAAGCATCTGAGAACCCTTTTAATGGATACCAATTGAGCACAGTCAGCTTCACAAAAAAGGATCGAATCATCGGCAAATTGCAAATGTGAGATAAGGACATTGTTAGTTCCAACAACTACCCCTTTTAGAATGCCAAGATTGAGAGCTCTGACTAGAAGAATGTTCAGACCTTCCGCCACAATGTTGAATAGAAAAGGTGAAAGAGGGTCTCCCTGTCTAAGGCCCCTGTGAGGTGAAAATTCCTTAGTTGGTGATCCATTCACTAAAATGGAGATTCTAGTTGTAGAGACACAAATCTTCATCCAAGTGATCCATTTATCCCCAAAACCAAAGCTGCCCATCAAAGAAAATAAGAATTCCCAGTTGACAGAGTCAAAAGCTTTCTCGAAGTCCAGTTTGAGAATCAACCCTTGCTTTTTGACCTTTTTCCAACCATCCACTACCTCATTGGCAATAAACACCCCATCTAGAATATTTCTCCCTCCCAAGAATGCTGTCTGTGTTTCACCAATAATTGAGGGTAGTACTGACTTTAATCTGGATGCTAAGACTTTGGCCAAGATTTTGTAGATAGATCCCACAAGACTAATAGGTCTGTAGTCAGATAGACCAATAGGGTTGTCCACCTTGGGAATAAGGGTGATAAATGAGCTATTGATGCCATATGCAAGCCTGCTGTTTGAATGAAACTCTTTGAAAAATTGCATTATATCCAGCTTCATAACCTTCCAGAATTTCTGATAACATAGTAGGTTGAACCCATCAGGGCCGGGAGCTTTGTTATTGTTACAGTCTTTGATTGCTGCAAGTACCTCCGCTGCACTGAACTCAGCTACCAGACGTTGAGAGACATATTCCGGGTTAATGGTGTTGAATACTCCTGACAAAGAGGGCCTGCTAACCCATGATTCAGAGAATTGGGCCTTGAAGTGAAGGAGAACTTGTTGCCTAACTCCGGTAGGATCCTCGAAGGACACTCCATTTACTGAGATAGAGTTGATGAGATTTCGATTCTGCCGAGAACTTGCCACTACATGAAAAAACCTACTATTTTTATCTCCATTGATAGCCCAATTCAATCTGGATTTTTGATGCCACATCCATTCTACCATTCTGTATAGCTTCCACAACTCGCCTTTAACCTCCCTTCTTCTTGCCTTTACTGAGGCACTCAGTGGTCTTTCCTCTGCAGTGACATCCAGAGCATGTAATTCATCTTCTGAAGATTTGATTTTATAGGCCAAATTGCCAAACACCTGAATGTTCCAAGATTTTAAGACTTGCATCAGATGCTTTAGCTTTTGGGAGAGTATATACCCAGACCATCCAACAAAAGAATTATCTGACCATGATGAGGCAAATAACTGAGCAAAGCTGGGGTGAAGAGTCCACGCATTTAGGAACCTGAAGGGCTTTGGTCCCCAGTCTCTGGTATCCTCCATCATTAATAAAGGGCAATGGTCTGAGATTAGCCTGGGTAAACCCCACAATTTCATTGAGAAATTAATCATCCATTCAGGACTTAATAAAATCCTATCAATTCTGCTCCATTTCTCTGATTCCTGGGCATTGCACCATGTGTACCTCCTCCCATGAAGTGGTAAATCATGGAGCTCACTATTGCCAATGAATTCATTAAAATGCTTCATGCCCCTGTCTCTCCTAGAGCAACCAATTCTTTCACTAATATGACTAATTTCATTAAAATCACCTCCCATGCACCAAGGAAGAGGGAAAAGGGGTTTAAGCTTTAGGACATTAGCCCAAAAAGAAGATCTGGCCCCAACATCATTGGGGGCATGAATATTAAGCAGAACACAGTCAAAAGAGTTGTATAAGGAACCTGAGAGTAAGATATACCTCCTATTACAGCAGCAGCCAGAGAGTGTGAACACTGCAGGATCCCAAATACATAGCAGGCCTCCGACTGTTCCTTCAGGATCAACAGACATGAACTCCATATTTTTGCTTCCCCATAGCCTTCTAGCATCACCATCTGATATGATTGCCCTTTTGGTTTCTTGAAAAAAAACAATATCGACATTTTTGTCTTTTAGGAGTCTCTTGATTCTACCCTGTTTTTCCACCTTCCCCATACCCCTGATATTCCAAGATATTAACTTCATGATAAAACCATTGATTCACTCACAAGGCCCTAATCTTTCCCTTTACTGCTGGGCCTTCCCATCCTTGGCAATTTTCTCCTTGTCTTTAAGTTCTAGTTCAGCAATTTTGTTGAGCACAGTGCCTTCCTTCCCATGGTAGTCTATTCCAAGAGACTTCCCTAATTGAATTGTAGCTGCAGCTTCAGAAAGAATCTGATTTCTCAGAGAAGAGTCAACTGCAAATGAATGAGACTGGGCTAGAGCTTTGGCAGCAGGTCTGTAGATGACAGATTTAGTGAAGTGCTTCTTGGCTGCCTTGTTTGAGTACGCATGAATCCTAGCAAAGCTAGTGAACCCCTCCATTTGTGACTTCATCTTCCCTTTATTCCTGAGGTTGCGTTGGTG